GGTTGACATCCTGCATTGGTCAATGATCAGGTTTCAAACCTGAGACCTTTGCTAGGGTCTCATTAATTATGTATGAGTTTTTGAAGGCTCTGGAATCGACGCCTGAATTAATTTATGCGTACCTTTTGAGGTCATTTTTCAATCCGTCCGTCGAAATCCGTTAAAATTCTTGGAGAAATTGCCATAAAAATAAGTTTTGAGATAAATGGGGCAAACTGAAATTCTTGGAGAAATTGCCATAAAAATAAGTTTTGAGATAAATGGGGCAAACTGATCATGCGCGAATCACTTTACTAAGCACTCTTGTCATCCCACATTGAATACGCATAAAGTAAAATAGAGACGCTGGTGGCTGTTTTACTGCAATTGGTTAATATCCTTGGTCATTGATCAGGTATCAAACCTGAGACCTTTGCTAGGTTCATGGACCTTATATCTGATATAGGTCACCCTTATTAGCATTCTTTATATAAAGAATACTAATAAGGAGTGTTTTATCCGATATAAATGTCCATCCATGTGACCAACTAGGCTCATCCTATTGGCTTAGTAACACTAATTATGTTAATCAAAAAGACAAACGCAACTAGATTCATTTTTGCGACGTTTCGACATCCTCTGATGCCATTCTCAAGCAATTTTGAATTTATTACAACTGAAGAGCTATATATACACATGAAACAATAGCGAAAAACAATAAGATAAAATATACAAAGTATTGTTCTAAACAAATAGTTTCGCGCGCACGGAGTCTGATTGTACATTGAGTGTTGGCTTAAGTGATCTTATATAAAACATCTCATTTATTAAGCAATCAAACTTGCTCGTGCATTTTTTAATCTCAGTAAAACTGTCTGTAGGTGGAACAGTCTTAAGACCGTGTTCTAGGAAGCGATGTTTTCCAATCGTTGAGTAACGGTGCTCATCAATTCGCTGGTGTAAGTGACGTGCTGTGTAGCCAACATAGCTTGCATCACACAAACCACATTGAAACTTGTAAATAACGAGTTGTTGGCTGACAAGTGGAGGCTTTGGTTCTTGCATTTTAAGCATATCATTGAGCTTACGACTTACGAAAATAGCTTCCAGATTAGAGTCCAGTTTTTTGTTGAGCTGAGTAAGTTGGCGTTTGACTATGTCGGCTGGTTTTTGGTCAATAAAAGGCAAAACTATCCTAATGGTGTTATCTGATGCATCTGATTCAGGTTGCTCACTTCTACTGGTAGGTGGATTCTTGTTGAAATAGGTGATAGCAGACTCAATCATCTTATTAGGGTAATTCAACTTGCTGAAAACCATTCTTATATTTTCGCATTCATTTTCGTAGGCTTCTTTTGTAGAGGAAA